TATATATACGTTATATATAAAAGTTATTTACAAAAGTAGATATCACATCATATATATTTGTACAATATTTGATAGTACCTGTTTGTTTTTTTTTATTTCTTTTAAACTTGTTATTTTTTTGAACACAAAAATGATTTCTGAATTCCATTGTCTCGTGAACTCCATTTAATTGATAAAATTTTAACAATTGTATAAATTTAAAATCAAACTTTTTGCGATCCAAGATTCTAGTGATTAAAACGCATTCGTGCTTACTTAACGGTGATATTTGCCATTCTTTTTAATTAAGAATAAGTACGAGTTTTAATGAGATCTATACATTGAGATATCTATATATTGTTATGTGTTTGCATTCTATATACTTTATGTGTGGCAAACGTACACTTTAATCACAATCTGGTTTTAATATGAATGTAGAAATTGTAATTATATATCAAAACACAGCGTTACTAAAACTAAATTTGCTGAATATTCAGATATAAAAGACATCATATATTAATCTCTTATATTTAATTTGGAATTGTTTTCCCCACCACTGTCTTACGAAAAAGATATTAAACATATAATGCACTTAGCTATAAATCTAATTGCCGGCAGAATGAAAATTGAGTAAAAAAAACGGCTGCACGACTTTGGAAGTAATCGAATATTTCATGATGCGATTAAATGAAGATAACACGAGAAAATAATTAATTTTGTGACGCTCGAGAAAGAAATCAAATCAATGCGAGTGTAAAATAGAGACTGATTTCACGTCCATTTTTACGTCAGCTTTAATCCGAGAATTAGATCGTAATCCATCTTTTAATTATTACTTTATAACTATACAACTAATATAGATTCTGTGTAATATAGAAAATCATTTTGCAATACTATACTATGCTGCATAATAGTTGATATACTAAATACCAATGAAAAATACGTTGACTATATATTGATCTGTGCGTATAAAGTTTTAATCATTTTAAAAAAATCTAGTTTATGCTACGTATGTCTTGAAATCTTGTTTCCTAAGACCATTAAAATGAATTGATCTTACGAAGAAAAAGAAACGTATATAAATAAAAAAAAGTGTGATTTATTTGCAGATTATATGAAATAAGGCAATTATATGTGGAAAATATATATCATAAGTGTAAGCATGTATATCCATCATTGTTCCATCATTGTTCAAATTTGACTTTGTCTTGACCTCGGATGTCAAAACTCAATAACAAATTATACGTGACACTAGAAATCGCATCACAATAGACTTGCGAACTGAGATTTGTAATACTTATAAACGTCGTATAATTTCTTAGATTTCTTACGCCTATTAAACTTGTCTCGAATTTTTGGTAATTACTACAACACTTCTTGAATTCACTTGCATATATTGGTATCTCTATATGTAACATTAAGAACATTAGATTATTTTAGATTTAAGAGATGTGCAGCTGTAATCTTCTCATACAGTACAATATGAGGCAGTACTACAATAAACAGATAGTCATTACAACATCGTGATAACTGATTATACGTATCTGCAGTAACCAATGCGAACGTTGTAACTCGAGTCTGTTGTAAGAAAATTCGACCACTTGAGTGTTTATTGAAAATAATTATCTTTTTAGCATTATGTTAATCAAAAGAAAAAAAAAGTACAAAAGCAAAATGACATAAAAATATAAGTTTTATGTTTAAGTCACGTTTCTGGAAGAATGGTAATTGTCATTCTTCATTATTATTTACCGCATTATATCTTGTGCAATGCAACGCAAATTGGATTGTAAAATAATTAATATGTATTAATTCAAGATAGGTGATATTACTTTTATATATATACTATTTTAACTTATAATGTATTTCATCACTTCCAGTAAATTTTTTGCATTTGTGGTTTTTTTGTGCCTATACTCCTTATTTTTTTTCTGTAGCATTTAACACGTGTACGTGTAAAACGAAAAATATAGAGATATATGTATCAAAACGTAGATAAAAATTAGTTTTTGTTATTTTTTAATCCCCACATCGTAATAGGATCTATTCGTGTACATACATTATTTTGAATGAACATAAGTCAACATACATGCTAAATAATAAACAGGTCATTATTATGAGAAATGCATCACCTTATATTTGGCAGCATATCAGTTACAATGTTTTATTCTTAAAAGTAACTTCAGTATAATTAATATTATACTTTATTATTTTATAATAAAAAAAGGCGATGCCGATTTATTATATAATATATTGGCATCCGTTTTATATAGTAATTGATGGCTCGATTTTACGTAAAGTATCTAAACCATAATATAAGGATATGTGTATATGCGTCTGTATCAGAATACTGAAATAATACGTTCTGTAATATGAATCGGAAGTACAGCATTATTATCTACATAGTTAGTGCACAGATAAGTAACAAATTATGTTGATATGTATAGCATTAATAAATCTTGTACCATTGCATTTTTTGCAATTATAAAAATTATTACGAATCAGAGAATGGCATTGATATATCATAATTCTATCTAAAGAATTATGCAAAACAAAATGAAATTATTCATGTGCATAAAAGGAAATTATCGTATCGAACAAATTAATTATGAATAAATCGTCTTTGATATATGACATATAATCTTATATCTATGTTATATTTCTATTAACTCTATTTATAGACGATAGGGAACTATTTGAATGCAATACTTGATATCAGTATCTTATTTGAGGACTTCGTATATTACAAAATACGAAAAACGTATTTATAAATAGAAATATATATATATATATATATATATATATATATATATATATATGCGTGTGTGTGTGTATAGAATTACTTAATATATAGAGCAATTTGTATACTGCTCTAGATTTCTTTTGGCCTTTCAATAATTGAAATCTTATTAGTATTGTAAATGTTACATGAAGTACAATATATTTAATATATAACGTTAATCCTCGATTATTACAGTAAAATCGTTAGTAAAAGATTATTATCGTTGCAATATGGACTAAATGGGAATTGAAATTTCCTTTCTTCGCACATACTCCTTTTCTCATTTAGTTGTTCGTTATACAAAAATTAAAAATAACATGGGCATATTTTACTTATATACAAGTTAATATACTAAATAGTTTAATCTGCAGTCTCTTTATTTCGATACAATACTGTGTCAATCCATGATTAAGTTTCATCGACTCTATCTGAGCTTCGTATGAGAATTACCAAAAGATAATAGAATTTATCCACGAAAAGAAAAATTTATATACAGAAACATTTCCAATCTATATATCATAATTGGCCAATGTTCATAGTCCGTTCTTATTTCAGGATCGTGTTAAAGTCATGTCTCAATGCTAAGGCTTTGAGGTTTATATAACATTTTAAAAGACCACTTATGACAACTTATCTTAAATATGAGAACTGACTATGAATACTGGACATTGTTCGCAAAAATATTAATAATAAATCTTAATGATAAATGTACGTATACAATAAAAATGACTAATATACACAATATAAAACAAAAATTATTCTCGACAAATTAATAAACAGGAAGTACCAAGACCTTTGCAATTTGCTGCTTGAGTAAGCTATACATATCACTCTTACAGCTAGAAAAATTTAAATGATATAGGAAATCTAAAAATTCTCGAATATAAAGATGATCATGCAGCATAAATTCATTAACAAATATACTGTAACGTAGAGTTATTATCTTTAATTGTGCCCCTATAAGATCTGAGATATACGTACATATCAGCCTTTTTTAATTCGTAACCTTTCTCTGAAATCTTCCTCAAAATCGAATATTCATCAGGATTATATGTATTCATCTGTATTGTAATTATTGTACTCGCAATTAAAAAATAATAACGTAATACTTGTGCATAGCATACCATATAATTATTAGTAGATAAATGTAAATATAAATGAAATATGGATTCCCAAACTATTATCATTCTCTTTATATTCCTTTACTTATAATATTCAACTCTCAAATAATGTTTATAATCTCGTGTAAAACCGAGATATATGAAATATGAGTCAGGATTACTCGGAACCCCTCTCCGATTACAAATCGATCACTCTCATACAGAGAGTCACACGTCACTTCATAATAATTAATAGATATTCTTCTTAAACATCTTAAACATCATCGAAAATA